ACAGGTCAAACAAATGCTTCAAGGCTTTGAATCAACTGGTGGATTTCTTAATCTTGTCCACAAGGGACAGGCAACTGGCTTCGTGAACTGTTTCTTTTCTTTAAAAGGAAAACCCTTTTTAACCCCTCCTTGGGCAATCTACTTTCTAAACTTTGCTGGTGTGGGCTCTACTCCCAGCTCCAAACTGCTTCTTGGGTCCCGAGTAGACCTACCAGTCAAGGCTTTGTAGATTCTCCAGCTGGAGTCCTTTGGAACTGTTTTCCCCCGGATGCTGTGAGAAACGAAGCTTCTCTACAGGTGGAGCTAATCCACGTCCTGTAGCTAAGCTTTCCAATGCAAGACTGACCTAAAATGGCCCCCCTCTCCTCCCAGAGCCCTGGGGAAAGGGGTGGAACCAAAATACTCCATATGCCCAAATGTGAACACTGGAGGAGTTTGGGGGAAATAGAATTTTGACATTTGGGAGTTGTAGTTGCCGGGATTTATAGTTCACCTACAATCACAGAGCATTCTGAACCCCACCAACTATAGAATGGGGCCAAACCTCCCACATAGAACCCCCATGTGGGCCACAGCAACATGTGGCAGGGGACGGCTAGTTATTCATAAAAACACCGAAAAACATAGCAGAAGAGTCTTAAAAAGCCCAAAAATCAAAAATACATTACAACGCATGCACAAAATTACATATATACACAAATATATATACTAGGGCTGGGCGGTTTCATTTCGTTAATTCGTAATTCGTTAATAATTCGTTATTTTTTTCAATTACAAAACGATAACGAACCATTCTGGAGCAATTTTTAAAACGAATTTTTAAACACGTTTTGTAAATGCTTCGTATTTCGTTATTGTATTCGTTTCGTTATTGTTTTGAGGTCGTTTCGTTATTATTTCCGCATGTCTGGGCCAGTTTTATGGTTTAATTAGTGAAAAAAAATTATAATATCACACCAACAGTCAACAACAGAGGGAGAGGGAAGCTTCAGAAGGTTTTGGAGGTTTTTTAGCGTATTTCGCGGTCGCGTCCGCCATTAACGAATCGATTCGTTATTGTTTCGGAAATCGATTCGTTAATGTTTTGTAATTTTTTTCACATTTACGAAATTTCGTAAATACCGAACTTTTTAAGGGAAAATTTTGTAATTATTTTAAATATCGAAACAAAAAAACCCCCCAAATACAAATCGATTTTAGAAACAAATTTTTCCGTTGTTACCCAGGCCTAATAAATACACACACAAAACACACACAGACTGGGCCACAGCAATGCATGGCAGGGGACGGCTAGTCCATATATAAAGAAGGAGGCATGACAGTTATACATTACTTTAGCATGCTTTTTGAGAAAGGTTGTTGGGGAGCATGGCTCATTCTGGGGGCAGAACGCAGGACTTAGTTGGCCTCCCATTTGATCCTCTTGTGTTTTGAAGGGCAGAGGAATCTTAGCCAGTTAAAATAGGTCGCTTTGTGCTTGGTCGCTTTGCCGTAAACAAGCTTTGAATTTCAGACCTTTGGCTGGGCCTTTGAATTCCTCTTCATCAAACCGAAAGGATCAAGCATGTCCAAGTCTGTCTGACATCCCCAGGACTTGAGTAAATGCGCAAGAGGCAGGAATTAACTCTGCAGGGATTTGTCATGTACAGTTCTTTGGGCACTGGACATCCAGTAATATTTCACTGCATTTCAGCCGACTGTTGAGCAGCTCGCTCGGATCCCCAAACCATGTGACATGTGTAATGGATTCAGTTGGTTTTGCTTCATTACTTAGCAAGGTTTTTCTTTCTGCCTCAGTGTGGGAAGATGTTTATAGCTTCTCATTAGAGTTCGAGGTCATCAATAGGGAATAAAATTAAAAGTGTATTATTTTGCCCTTGAGAGAAATTTAGTTTCTCCTTTGTTGTCC